TATTAATAAAATCTTGGGACATCGAAGTCAACGACAACGTCATGAAATACGTGAAGCATATCAAAGACGCTATAGAAAGGTTAGTTAGTTGTTTTTTTAATGTTTCTAGTTTGATTTCTAGCTGACATCAATTAGAAAATCGATCATTGGAAAATCAGGAAGTACTGACTGCACAGTTGTTTCGTCAGCTTAGTTGGTGGCTCTTCACCAGAATGCATCCACAGGGGTTGTAGTGCTAGACCTATTGGTTACAAGGTAGGACCTGATTTGATGGCCAACCCATGAATTTCAGCTGCTGCCAACTCGCCACATGTATAAAGATAGAGAGAGACAGCAACTGCCATCCAGTGTCACAAACGAGTGACTGATCTCTTACCTGACTTGGTAGATTCCGCTGGTTACTACTTCTGACTGGAATTCTCCAGGTACCTTCTTGTATAGATGCAGTGGCTAGTGAACATTGGATTAGTTATCACGCATCGGTCAGCAGTATTTTGATTAGTTAAAGGTTTGGTCATTAGTTGGCATCAGTTAGAGAGCCATTGGAGAACCTGGGAGTACTTGACAGCTATTCCGTCCAAGTTTGAGACTCATTGTGAGTAGGCGCCTAGCGGGGTTCGAACCAATGAACTTACAGCTAAATGAAAAATGGCTTGATTATATAAACAAATGTCCTGAAAGAATTATTATATAAAGGCTAAGAAAAGATGATAAACAGAATAAGTAATGCTACACCGTAGGGGAAGTAAATAAATTGTATTTTAATAAAGGAGTAATAACATTAAGGGTTGATTAGGAAGGGAGTAGATATTATAACTGTTCAGTGCTCTGAATGTCAAAGTGAAGAAATTCAACAAAGCACGGGTGAACTTATTCAAACTACCAAAGAATGGAGACCTGAGTCAATGCAAGAACTGGCGCAGAATTGTGCTCCTGTCCATCCCAAGCAAAATACTAAGCCGCATCATCCTGGAGAGAATCAAACATGCCCTGTATGAAAAACTTCGACCAGAACAGGCTGGATTCAGGAGAAACAAGTCATGCATTGATCAGGTCACCACATTACGGATCATCATTGAACAAAGCTTGGAATGGCAGTCACCTCTCTATCTCAACTTCATCGACTTTGAAAAGGCCTTCCACAGCGTCGATCGAGAGGTGATTTGACAACTATTTCGCTAGTACAGGGTGCCATCGACAATTATACATCTCATCCAACAGTTGTACGACAATGCTGCATGCCAAGTAATCCACAACGGGAAACTTACGGAACCCTTCAAAGTGAGGACAGGAGTAAGACAAGGCTGCCTACTATCGCCAATGATTTTCCTGATTGCAGTAGACTGGATAATGCGACAAACAGCGGGCAATGAGGAAATAGGCATGAAATGGACTCACACAAAAAACTTGGAGGATCTGGACTTCGCCGATGATATATGTCTGATTTCCCACAAACTGGAAGATATGCAAACGAAAAGCAACAAGTTGGCGATAGAAGAAGCATCAAAGATAGGACTTCAGGTGAACATAGATAAAACAGAGGTGATGAAAATTCCTGGGCAACACCACCAACAGCAACAACAACAACAACAGACAACAATCAGCATAAATGGGAGGAACCTGAAAGAAACAACCTCCTTCACCCACCTACCTACCTACCTGGGAAGCATCGTTTCAACTACAGGCGAAACTGACGAGGATATCAAAGCAAGAATCGGAAAAGCAAGACAAGCTTTCACTACTCTCAAGTCTGTGTGGAGGTCAACAGCACTCAGCATCAAAAATAAGATCCGGATTTTCAACTCCAATGTGAAGTCAGTGCTACTCACTATACGGATCAGAGACTTGGCCAGCGTGTCATAAAGAGCATCTCAAACAAACTACAGACCTTCATTAACAGTTGTCTTCGCTCAATACTCAAGATCAGATGGCTGGCCAGAAAAGATCAGCAACAGGGATCTCTGGGAGCGAACCAACCAGGAACCGATTGTGAAACAAATAGGCAGGAAGAAATGGAGATGGATTGGCCATACTCTGAGGAAACAACCATCAAGTGACATCACTAGACAAGCCATTGCTCGAGTGGAACCCGAAAGGGAAGCGGCGAGTTGGTCGTCAGTGCAAGGGTGACTTGGAGGAGGTCATGTGAAGAGGAGATGAAAGCGTGTGGGCAGACTTGGAGCCAGGTGAAGACTCTAGCAGAGAACAGAACGCAATGGAGATGCACGGCTGAAGCCCTATGTTCCTGTAGGAATTAAAGGATACAATAATAATAATACGGGTGAACGGCGGGAGCAACCATGACTAACCACTACAATATGGGTTAATCCTTATCATGAACCATTCTT